TTGATATTTTCACTTCCTAAATACTATACATTTATTTGTAGAAACATTATTTCAGGAAAAATAATGCTTTCCTTTTGGGAGGATATTTCATCACACAGCTTTTTATTATTCATGTGAAGTGCCAAGAACCTTGAGAGGACAGAAAAAAAATCAGTCCTCTCTAGCTTCTCCGTAGCTCTCCTTTTGACAGCGCTCAGGTACCGGCAGATTGGCTGTAGAGCCACAGGGAATTGATGAACAAAGTGTTCCTCAGTAATACAGAATCAAGCTGCTTCTATCTCAAGAGAAATACGAGATATGACCTTGGTTGGTCACTATTAAGTATGCTAGTCACCTAGCAAGACTCAGAAGTCCAAGGAAAAAGGCATACGCCTTTACTGACTTATATTTTGAAACTTTTATTACCATAATTTGATGTGCTATATATATTGAATATCTTTATAGAAAGCTTAGGATAGCATTGAATTCTATTACCTCAGCTGCTGACATGTACTAAACAATCTTATTAATTCCTATACTTGTAATGATAACAAAATGTTATGTTATGCAATATGTTAGTGCTTATAAAGCACTAAATATATGAGATATTTTAAATTTGAAAAATGAGCTCCATGAGATTTAAATAACCATATTTTTAAAATTTTTAACATAAAATTAAATTTGATTTCCTAATGCTACACAAATTTGATAGTTATCAAAAATTCTTCCTTACTCTAAGAAAAGATTTTTTTTCATTTTGAAAAGTAGAAAAATGTATTAAATAAAATTTATCAATATTATTTCCAAAAGTTTATGTCCATAAATTCACACGCAGATAAAACCGCTGCAGAAAAGTACATATTTTAAGCCTAGATGAAAAAAATAAATAAAACATTTCCTAAAATTTTTTGCATCAATTTTTAGACTAGCAAATAATCTGAAATACATTTCTAGAAACAAGAAACCATTTAACTACTCCTCTCACATTGGTTAACATACTCAGATCTTTTATTTAGTAATTATTCTAGGTGGAATTTTTGTCTTTTGATTCTTTGTTTTTTCCTCTCACACTTTTCCTTCCTCTCCATAATATGAATATGGTGAACTAAGCAGACTGTTAAATAAAAAGAGCACTTTTTATTAAGTCAATCATATAATTATCCTTAAAAATCATGAATCTGCCAGATTTCATTCAATACAAAGTTAAATCAGCAATTTAGTAAACTAACCATTGCCAACTACCACTGATAACAAATGAGCTAAAACATTTCAATAACTTCTTGTACATCATAAAACATGTCTATTTTATTCAATAGGACAAATAATATCTGTTGGACATAACTCGAAAAAGTCTTTATGAGTTAGCTAACGCACTGCATGATTTAGCTGATCATGCCATTTCAATTTGCTGTTTGTATACATACACGCAATCTAAACTAAAGTGATTTTAGTTAAAATTTAAAACTTAGTTGTTGTGGGATACCTAAAATATTAACAGAAATAAAGATTAATATGAAAATTCATCCATCATTCTAATACCTCAACAAATCAAATAGCTTTCAGTTTGTAGGGCATCTTACCATTCCTTGTCCTATGCATACATAGACTTTCCCTAACATTATAGGTAAAACTTTATGTTCTGCTTTTCTTAACATTATCTCATAAGCATTTACACATTGCCATAAAGTCTTCATAATTTTCATGAAAATTGATTGTATAAGTTACCATAAATTTGCGGATCATTTCCTCACTCTTAGACATGTAACCTTCTTCTTCCCCACCCCCAACCTGTTTTTTAGTGCTACTATCAAGCACCAGCATTTTCATTTATGCGTTTTTTTCCCTTGTTTCTGCTGTTTCCCGCTTCAGATAAGAACCTTTATGGTTCTTATATTTCTAGACTGCTTTCTAAAATTCACTACCATCAAGAGCAATGTATGTATCTATGATTTGTACTGTGATTTTCACCATCACTTAGATATTAGCATTCTTTTTAGAGAGAGGAGCACTAATTTCATGGAGATGAAATTTCCATGATTTTATACTAATGAAATTTCATGAGCATTGTTTTAATCTGCATTGTTATTACCATTGTTGTTAAATACTTAAAATATTTGCTAATCATATTTTCCATAATGTGGATTATCCTTGAGGTTGTGTCTTAGTATTTATCTAAAAAATGTATACGTGTTTTTTATACTCTATCTAGAAAATAACCCTGTACCACATTCTCAGCAACCTATCCTCTATAGGGTGTTTTACTTTGGGCTTCGTGGTAAGTTTTTTTATTCTGTAGATAAGTTTAATATTTTTATATTAAAGTATACTGCAATGTGACTTTTTTCTGTTGCTTCAAAGCTCATTTAATGATCCTACCAAATGTCTGACAAATATGCAACTTCCCCCATGATTTGATTTTTTAAAAAATATTTATCTATTTAATCCATCTGGAAAGTTTTTGGCATATGCTCTGAGATGTGTATCTAAATTACTTACTTTGCAAACTCTAATACCACAACTATTTATTAAATACTCCTTCCGTTTCCCACTGTTCTATAATATTCTATTGTTTATATATATATATATATAAAATTCTTATATATAGTATTTTGAGATATCCTATACTTTCCTAGATCTAGCCAATACGAAAAAAGTTGAATTATGTAAGTTTCTTCTATGATTTGATATCTGGAATGGCTTTTCAACATTTATGACTTCTTTTTAAAAATATCCCTTTATTCTCATTAGCATATTTTTCCAAATAGATTTTTATCATTCTATCACCTTTTCAGAAAATCCAGTTGAGAATTTTATTAAGATTAAACTCTTAAATTTATAAATTAATGTGAAAAGCCTTAATAGCTTTATTATATCGTTATATCTAGAAATATAACCTGTGTCTTCACTAATGCAAGCATTCTTTTATAACTCACAATGAATATTATTTTAAAGTATGTCCAATATTATATAATTAAGGGGCAGATGGAGATAATGGAAAAGTTGAAGACTATGGAGAGGGATATCTATCTATCTATCTATCTATCTATCTATCTATCTATCTATCTATCTATCCATCCATCTATAGATAGCACAGCAAAGGCCAGTGCTTTTGTATGGCAAAAGTTAGCCTTGTCAAGTGTGAGGCTGAAGATAGCCTCTACTAATAACAACCCAAGACAACTATCAGTGCCCGACTGGACATAATGAAGAAGGCTGAGTGGTATGCTGAGAATAATCCTCCCCTGCCCTTTATTTTAATTCACCCTCAGATATTCTTGACTTTCAAGTGAATGCACATCTAGCCCTCAGCAGTACAAGCTTCTACATCGCTTCCTAGTGACTCAAACTTTCGTTTTTGGATGACACTGATAACTAAACTGTAAAAAAATATATATAAAGACATATAGATATATTTATAAATATTTATAGATAAATATATAGGTATATCTATATATTTATGAATATATAGCTATATCTATATATTTATAAATGTATATTTATAAATATACTTATATATCTCTATATATCTATATAGATATATATATATATATCCAGACTCTCAACTCCTGTGAGATCTGGGGAAAGATGCTTAACCTCTCTGAGACTCAATTATTTTCTCTGTAAATTGGAGGGAGTGGTACACTTCCAGGATTGCTGTAAAGAATAGGGATAATGTTTAAAAAAAAAAAAAAAGAATAAGGATAATGTATATAAAGCTATTGGAGTATTATATGTATCCAATAAATGTTAGCTAAGATCATAATTTTTAATATAACATGTGCTTCATATTTGACATTTTATAAAGTTCTTTCTTGGGTATTATCTCACTTGCTCTGTTAATCTTCATAAAACCCTGTTAGATGATATCATTGTTATTAGCATTATTACTATTAAGACAAAATTGATAAAGATATTTCTTCTTTTAAATCAAAAACATGAGCTCATTTCATATTATCATGATACATATATCATGATATGTATCATGATATGTATTTGTAGATCACCTACATCACATAATAACTTTGTCCCTAAATATTTTATGATATTTTTTCTGCTATAATAGCTATAATTGCCCTTTCATTATATTTTCTATTAGTTTTGCTTACTTACAGGAATGCTATTGATTTTAGTACATTTGTTTCAAGTTCAATAGCCTTAATGAGTTCCTTATTATCTCTTAAAAATATGGTTAATTCTTTTGGTTTTCTGGGTTATCACATTCCCCAAATAAATTCTATATTGTATAATTATATATTAATATAATCAGTGACATAATTGAAAAATAAAAGAAACAGACTAATTTTCTGTCATGATATAATGATATATTAAAATCTTCCTGTTGGAAACATAAATTCAAGAAGATTATTTAGCTATTACTAGCAAGTTTCCTTTAGCTTCTAGAATGTATTACCTTAATTTTTCTCATCATTCCTTCAAACCTCACTATACCTTGCTTGACGAGAAGAGATGATGTTACAGTGGCAGAAAAAGGAATTAAAGAGAAACCATATATTTTTTCTTCTTTGCAGGCTTCAAATATTATTCTTGTGGATGAGGGGGAAAAAAAGGGATGAACTGCATGCACTTACACACTTGGAAGAGTTTTGCTGCTTTTCATCTCTTAATGCATGGCTGGCTAAGCTCTTTCTCATCCTAACCCAGACCTTTGACTCCCAAATACATTTCAGCTATGAAAAGATAAATTATTTTGCGCCTGTACTTGTCTTTTCCCATCTACTCCCAGAATAGGATGCTTTGTTCAAAAAATAATAATAAAAATGTCACTTTTTCATTGAATTAGTTGCTTAATACAACCAAATAATCCACCACCAAAAGCTATTTAAATAAAGGAATCCACTGATACCTCCAACGTATCTCATTTTACTTAATCATGATTTTTTTAAAGATCAATTGTAAATATATATGTTACTAGTAATGAAGGTTTAAAAATGACCAAGATGATAGAATTATTTTCACTGTAGAACTAGACAATCAGTTTCAAGTATGGTTTCTGTACTCACGGGGAAAATGATTAGAAGTAGATGGATTGACACTGTCCCCACTGTCAGCACTTTCACTGCTGGAAACTTCATCATCTGATTCCCGCACAGAAGAGCAGGGTGAGGAGCCGTCAACTTCTTCAAACTTCCTCTTTAAAATTCCACTCATAGCTGCAGCGCTGTCACATGTACCTGTAACAGGAACAGGAGCAACGAAGCATTGAAATATTTGACCGCTGGATGCGTAGCCAAGGTCTCCAGAGTCATTTTTATGTGGCTTTTTATACATGAGCTGAGCTTTCCTTGAAAGAATCACTTAGCAGGTTTTCTTAAGAAAACAAATTAACAAAAATTAAATTAAATATGAGCATAGACCATTTGGTTATCAAAATGTATCAATTTTTTGAAACAGTTCATTTTAATGTAATGCCTCTTTGTAATGTAATTCCTTTTTGTTGGCAAATTGAGAAAATCCACCTGAGTCCACGAAATTCTGTAACAAAAATAAATACCAGTATCCCCCTAAGTCCTAAATGATTACTGCCTTATATAAAATGCATCTAGAAGAATCACTTAAGTATGCAAAAACTTCATAGTCAAGTTTTAAAATGCAAGAAACCTAATTAGCTGAGCACAGCGAAGCATATGAAATCAGTTCTAAATTTTAGGTAGTTTCCATTTCAATATTGCAATAAGGTGAATTGTATCCCCATGATACCCGGTTGCTGAAGCTGTTGCCACTATTTCCGAAACTTCCTAAGGCTATTCACCTGGAAGGCAGCACTGAGTGAGAAGGATGAGGGGTGGGGAGTGGGAATGGTTTCTCCTAAATCCTTTCTTTAAGATAAATGGGCTTCCCTTTCTTCGTGGGTTCTCCACCTTCCCCATTTTCCTTGACATATGTACAATCAGCAAAGAGCATAAACTTTCCATGCAGTGTAAGGATATTTTCAGGAATACCATATATATATACACATACACACACACACACACATTATATATATATGGTGTATATATGTGTGTGTATATATATCATATATATATACACATACCATATATATATATTTAATCTCAATTAGCTTAGGTATATGTACATGGTTTTACACTGCTAAATTAGGTTAACTTAGCTGAAAGTATTACTAAGTCGATTCCATGCATTCCATCTTCCATCTCATTTTTCAGTTCATTTGAACTCTCATTTGAGTTCTTGAAGCCATTCTCTCCTTTTTTACTGTCAGAGTGTAGCCATCAGTCCTGTTGATCAGGAGCAAGCAAGACCCTTAAACTTATTGTGATGTCCATTCTGATAATGATAATTACATTATCTAGGTACTGCCTTCAGAAATCTCTGATATCAACCCTTCTCTTCACAGATCACAGAGCAAGCATCCTCCCCAGAGCCCCTCAGCTGGACCAGATCTCCAAGGTCTAAGTCAGTAGTTTTTGAAGCGGGTTACTTGGATTAGCAGCCTCAGTATCATCTGGGAGGGAAACTGTTAGAAAAGCAAATTCTCAGGCCTCACTCCAGATCCTCTGAATCAGAAACTCCCAAGGGGTAGGACCTAGAACTCTGTGCTTCAAGGAGCCCTCCAGGTGATCTTGATGCACATCTCAAATCGGAGATTTGTCTAATTTTAGTCTGCTCTCCAGCAGCTTCTCCCTGGACTTCACATTTCTTGGGTATGTTCACACACCAGCCCTGAGTCACATAACCCAGCACTCAATTCCTAGTCAAAATTTCTTTCTTGGCCATCCTTGGTGTAATGTCTAGCACAATGAAGTACAATATGAGGTATCACATTAAGTATTTATCATTAATGTCAACTTACTCCACTCATCTAACCATGTGTTGAGTAACTGGTATGTATCTGTTTGACTCTGGGTGGAGTAGGGGATACAAAAGGTAGTAGAACATGTTACCTAACCTTGAGGAACAAACATCCACTATGCTGGGCTAAGAGAACACTCCCAAGTTCATGTTCTACTGCCTTGTTTTACTAATCCATGTGTTTTCCATGACTTACATTAACAATGGAGATAACTGATAGCAGTAAGAAGATATTGCCTTGTCCACTCTTTTCAGAATAAAATCTATTCCGACTGATTTTACCGCTATTCAGATCAGCACATTATTTTATCCATCTGAAAGAGTG